CGTATTGTATAAAAATTTATGGAACACAGTAAAAAACATTTTTGTATTGTTTTTTTGTGTAAACAAAGTGTATACACAAACTAATAGTGATAAAGTTTGTTCTGTTATTGTGTTGTAAATAAGAGTGTATTTTTGAACAATGCCCCTTACATTTGTTCTCACAGGCCACATAAGTTACCTGGAAAAGAAAAATATTGAAAAATGCAAGAAACCTTTGAATTAGAGTAAATAAAAGAATACCGGGTGGGCGGCAGTCGCCGCTGTTGCCGTACGCACGTCAATTTCTGCAAACTTTGCGGCTCTATATCTCGGTAAGTACTGATGGCAAAAAATTTTTTTTAGGCTTAAAACACTAGTAAAAATATTCCTAACATTTTCATAAGAAAAAATAATTTTTTTTTTTTTCGAATATTTGGCGACATAGAATGACAGTTTCAGAGAGGGGCCTGAAACAGTCAAAGGGTTAAATCTTAAGTTAGTTCTAAGTTTGCCTAAGATACTCTTCCAATATATGAGCTTCAGTAGAAACAGTGTATCATGTCAAGACAAATCCAATCCCATTACTGAATTTACCATCTGTAATATTGTTATATGTTTTGTACTACCTCACTGTTATAAATCTAATTATGTTTTGTATCTAATCATGTATGTTAAATGTACTGCTTCCATAACCTATATCATATAGAGTAAGAATTAGTATTAGTCTGCCCAAAATGTATAGGCATCCCAGTGCCTTCTTTGTAATTAATATTTTATAACATGAAAAACCACACATTGTAGGCTTTACAAGGAAATAAACATTTTCATTTTCATAGAATATATCCAGTTGAGTACTGTTCTGTACTCAACCATAAATCAAACTTGGGTTTTCTTCTGTGTGCAAATAAAACACTATGAAACTGAGCTACAACCCCACATCAACACTCCATTTAAAATCTTCCCCTTGAGGGCTACAAAAAGAACACACGGGCACAACACAAGTACAAAACCTCTTCAACATCCTTCGTGTCCACCTCACCCTGTTCAAAAATGCAATGCATATAAAGGGCCCCAAGATCTGGAACTCACTATCCAGCCAGCAAAATGTCCTTTGTCTGCCAATCAATTTAGGATATATTTTAAAAATCACTTCACCTCCCAAAAAAAAACCAACTCCTCCAACTACTCGTGTCTTCACCATCTCTTATAAATCCTTTCTTAGACAAAATTCATAGAACCAGTTACACTACTCAAGAAATCCTAATTAACCTATGATCACTAAATCAGTTTAAAGTATTAATACACACCTAAAATTATACTGTTGTAAATTGTACAAACTGTAATTTTTTTTTGATACTTCTCTACTATAAATTTTTTAATTATAATTTTTTACTAGCTCTATTTTGTAATAATACACAATTAAAATTTACCACCCTATAACCTGTGTCTAGTTTTAAGTAGATTATAATATTAGGATTAGTCTGCCTGAAATGCTTAAACTGATAGTACTTTCTTTGTTGGGGTAACAACACTTGTTACATGTAAACTACAGTTTGTATGCTACACAGAGAAATAAAAATTGGAACTGGAATGAAAGACCATTTGCAAAAACCTGGACATTCCATTTTCTCAAAACCAAAATAAGTGGAAGAACATTTCATGTAAAAGAGCTTCTATACTTACAATGACTTTAACAAGGGAAGGTGTACATTAAGCTCTTTGGGATAATGATAGATCCTAAAAACCTTCTCTTGCTGTATGTCATACAGTGAGAGCCAGTCTTACTGTGAAAAACTGTCAGATCCCCTGGTAGCTCTAATACTACTGTTTTCTTTCTGTATTTTCCAAGTGGAGTCATACTGGAAAGGAAAAAAGAGAAGGACAGAATAATAAGAGTAAATTATACAATAACAAATTCTTAAATTAAACCCACTGCAAAATCTGTGTACTTTGGGCACCTTTTTTAAATTGTTAAATAATTAAAGCTGAGGTACTTTCAGGCTTACCTGTCATTGTACATGTTTAAATAATAGGTCACTATTAATTTTATGTTAAAAGAATATTAGAATTCAATTTTTGCATGGGTTTATGGGCTGCTAAGTTTTAAAAAAGTGGATCAAGAATAAAAGCTTTCCATTCGGAGATTTATATGACCTAAGGAAAACTAGTTGCTGACTCTGGCTCAATATGGCATATGCTGTAGTGGCCCTCTGAACCTCAACAAGTGAGTGACCCACAGATGTCAGATGACTAAATATAAACAGATGGCAAAACAGGGAATTTTAGGTAGGATACAGCTTCATCTGATGAAGTGTACGAGTTGTGTTAGATGATAAAACAAACATGCATCACACCTGTCTACAGCTCTGCATACAAGGGGCTTTTAGCATGTACACTCAACCATTATATTCCTTTGTACAACCATGTATCATGTCAAAATAAATTTATTATTATTATTATTATAACCATCTCCAAAAATAAGGTATGATAAAATTCCTTCTTCTCCACTGGGAAGTGGAACAGAATTCTTCCTCCATCAGTCAAGTGTGTCATTAGAGGCGACTTACATGCCAGGACCAAGGGGCTAGTAACCCCTTTTTCTGTATACATTACTAAAGGTACATTACCGAAGGTAGTAGGTTGGTAGACAGCAACCACCCAGGGAGGTACTACCGTCCTGGCAAGTGAGTGTAAAACGAGAGCCTGTAATTGTTTTACATGATGGTAGGATTGCTGGTGTCTTTTTTCTGTCTCATAAACACGCAAGATTTCAGGTATGTCTTGCTACTTCTACTTACACTTAGGTCACACTACACATACCTGTACAAGCACATATATGTGCAAGAATGGTATATAATACCGACAAGATGAAATTAAGACACATGTGCAACATCTGGGTATCTTTATTGTAGACGTTTCGCCATCCAGTGGCTTTATCAATACAAATTCTAGGACATAGCTTGAAGACAGTAGGACTATATACAGAAGATGAGGTAATCAGTCCCTCAACCTAGGAGTAGGTGCGAAGAGCACCATAGTCGTGGAGATTCTGAAGCAGAAGCAAGGAGCCTGACGCTTATATAGTAACGTCAGGTGTAGCAGACGAGGGCATAGTCACTGGCAGGCGGGATTCCCCAGTGGAAGTAGGTCCTTATCAAAAAAAGAGATGGATCTGAGGACA